GCTCTGGCTGACCCAGTGCACTCGGTGGGAACGTGGTGTAACTTGCTTTGGCATCGGTATGAGAACGCGTTGAAGGAGCAGAAGGTGTTGGTGAACGCAATTCAGGTTGGAACTTTCATTACAATTAAGGACATGGAGAGTATACGGGTGCTTGTCAACAAATTGGAAATGGAAATCAAGTCCCTGTTGCACCATGCTGACTTTGCTATCAGAGAAGTAGATGTTGTGAAACTTGTGATAGATGAGATCAAGAAGAAGATGGCAGTGTTCATGGAAACTTTTGAGGATTTAGCTGCCCAAGCTCATAGGTGTAACCATGACATAATCCTAGGAAGGACTATGATTTCAAAGAGGATAATCGAATTTGCAGGCAAGTGAAGAATTCCTTTGGTATTTATGCCAATGACCTCCCAACTTGTTTATCATTTATGGATTCCCATCATCAGAAAAAAGTGACACTCGAGATCTTGGGTTCATTGATTTGGATTCAGCCTCGAAAACCGTAATTTTGTGCAGAAAAAGATTGACAACAAAAAATCATACAAACTGTTATGATAAGTGGTGATCAGTGGGTCTCAAAAAAATCAAATGATTGATCGATCAAGGAAAAAACAACGGGCGCATCGGTTTGTATAAAATATTCGAGTAGTTTGCCTTTTTCTGTAGGATTTGTCTACATATTTCTCAATAGGTTCCATTGTGCAATTATTGTATCATATATATGACTGTAACAACTTTAATTTAGTTGATCACATTCATCAGCTATCAAAAGATGTCTAAAAAAGCCTAGCAGCCTTGTTAGCCTGCTTTAATTAAATTCTGCATAACGTGTGGCCTCAGTGGAGGAAAACAAAGACAACATAGCGTACCAGATATAAAAGAATTTCCCTTTGTCTTTTCTTATGGGGAAACATTTTCAAAGAATTATTATGGTCGAAGACAGAAAACTAAGGCTAGGATAAGAATTGCCGCTGAACTCGCTTCTTGCTTAAAGACAGAAGAAAGCAGGAAAAGGATGAAGAAGTGATTGTGCTGTGTTCTTTCCTCCGAACATTTGCTAAAAGCAAAGACATAAAAATAAAAAAGATAATGAGATTCATGAACACTAAAAATGATAAGAATATCTTTATCTAAGATTTTTCTCTAACTTGTCTCTATTGTTATCTTTAAAGTGGACATTGAAAGTAACTATTAGGATTGCATGCCTCTACTCATCCAAGATTGGGACTATATGGTATCATAATAAATCTTTTACCCAAGATGTGGACTTGAGTCATTAGGGTTTCTAAAAGAGACTATCAGCGATGAATTAGCTTTTGTTGGTCATAAAATTAAGAAGTGACCTTTCCAACTTGGAATAAAGTTAGGAATGTTCGTCGGCATGAAAATACCCTTCCCACGATAAGCTGGTAGATAGTAGAAGTGAGGAATAGTTTTTAGGGCTCTTAATTATATATATATATATATAAAAATTAGCAAATGATAGGAAGAGAACAAGATTTCCCTCACTGGTGTCAGAGCAATATAAACCACGGGAAAATTCTCCAACGAGTGGAAGGGAATTGGGCTGGTAAAAGACGATAAATTTCTAGAAAATCACACACTAAAGACGAAGGAATTTGGCTCCTAATGAGTCCTCATAAATACCAACCTGGTTTGGTCGAATACTCGATCGATATAACCTTGAAACTGGGCAAACCAAAACGTACTAAATAAGAGATCGATATTTAAAGAAAAACAAAAGATATTGACTAGGCGCAAGAGTTGATGAACAAGAAAGACCTGGTTGGCCGAAAGTTGTGCTGGCCAGGGAGCATATATAGATCATTTCAGGTTGATTTTCCTTTGTATTTGATTGATTAGGAGAGACTGAGTTAGTCTTTTATCAATTAGGTCCAGAAGAATTTGGGGAGCTCGGTAATATGAGACGGGCTCCACGTATAAAGGAATGCTATCCAGGTTTTCAAATTCATTATCTAGAGTAGTGGGGGATGGGAGATTTAAGCATCCATAACAATCCGAGTCCGAAGCAGCGTCGGGGATTGTGGTTGAAAAATATTTTTAAAATATTTTTATTTTTTTATTTTTAAATTATTTTAATATGTTAATATCAAATATAATTTTTAAAAAATAAAAAATATTATTTTAATATAAAAATATTTTAAAAATAATTATTACTATGTTTTCAAATTTCTTTTTTAAGTTTAGATTTTTCATTGTAGATAAAGAAGAAGAGGAGGGGATTAAAAGGACATGGGAAATGCACCTATGGAGACATTCGAAGGAGCGATGGGCTTGCGAGCTGGAAGAGACGTAAGAATTCAGGTGAAAAAGAAAAGAAAGCGTAAAGAAAGAAAGAAAAAAATGAGGCGAAAGTGTGAAAGCGAACGAAAATGAATGAACAAAAGTGAGAATTAATTAAGGTAACCTCAACAACGATATAATAATAATAATAAAAATAGTAATTTACAAAATAGTGAAAATAATTGATAGGGAGATGATTATATTTTATAATAAGAAAATACAAATAAAAGATGATAATTGGAATACTAAAAAAGGATGATATATGAAAAAGATGTTTGTTTATGCTACCTGTGTTTTAAATAAATTATGGTTTATAGTTATTTGATGTAAAAAATTAATTTATTGTACATGAATTCAATATAATTTTTACATTCAGAAACATAATTATTAAAAAATAAAAAAATTCTACTTTTTTTACACTATTTGTACTGCAAAAGAATTACAGTGTTAATTTACTTAAAAATAATTAATAGTATAATTTACTTGTATTATTCACGAGTGAATTGCACTGTTCATGTAAATAATATAATTCATTAACATTGTTAACCCAAGTTTTTTTTAGTGTTAATTTTATTAATATTTTAAAAAAACTAATTTAGAGTGGATTAAATTTATTTGCACTGTAATGTGAACAATATTTTTTTTTTTGAAAAACTAGTATAAAGTGAATTAAATTCACTCATATTGTAATATCAATTTTATACTTGATAATATTTTATCTAATTTTATTATGCTCAAAAAATTATGAAAACTGTAATTCTTATTGGATGAATTTTGTATGTAATAGAATTATAAATAGTTTAATAAAATAATAAAAAATATTTTATATAAAGTATTATTTATTTCATGATATAATAGGAGTAATTAATTCTACAATATTTAATTTAAAACTATCAATATTAATATATATTTTTAAAAATTATTTTATAATCTCAATTCCAAAAGCATTCTTAACCAAATACATTAAACTACTTTTTCTTCAACCTCAATTTTAACTATAATTTTAATTAAATATCTATTTTTTCAAACCAAGCTCAAATAAAAATATTTTTTATGGGTTTGCAGGGTATTCAGTGGGCCGTGGGGATTAGTCGTGGTGCGCGCAAGCTGGCCCGGACATTATTACAATATCAAATACACTCAAAATATTACTCCAAGACAAGTAATGAATTTTCATGATATATAAAAAGGAAAGAACGTTGATCAATAGTGAAAATAATAATAATAATAAAATAGAAGAGAGGCAATGATAATCAATTTTAGCAGTTTTGTTTTCTTATTACCAAGAAACTCGTGTCCATATCCATGTTTTTTTGGTTTTTTCTTCTTCTAATCTTTGATGGGCTGATAAATGTTATTAAGTTTTTTTTTTTTTTAAGATGACGCCGTGATAAGCATGTTTATTTTTTTAAAAGAAAACATTTTATTTTTTATTTTAAATTAATTTTTTAATCATTTAATGTACAGTGTCAAAATAAATATTAAAACTATAAAAATAATACTATTTTAATGTATTCTTAAATAAAAAATATTTTTAAAAATAATTATTATCACAAATCTAAATACTATCAAAATTAAAAATAAAAATTAATATACACAATAAAAAAATAAAACAAAAACTTAATCATTTTGGATTATAGTATGATTTGGGCCTGATTCCGTTTGTTTCATCGCCCTTCCTCTGTGAGGACATGATCGTGTCTTTCAGTACATTTCCTTGCATTTTCTCTGACTTCCTGTCTTTCAAGCTACCTCTTCATAAGACCGCCTCCAATCCTCCTTTCTTCTTATCACGTCGCTTATAAAAATCTCTTTCTCAAAAATCTACTGTCCAACATACACAAAAACACAAGATCTTAGCGTTTTGTAGCTAGAGGAAGTAATTGCTCGTATCTTTTCATTATCGGGTGATTTTGTCAGGCTGTTGAAGCTCAAATGATACAAGGACTATAATGTAAGCTGAATAGTGCCCCCAAAAGCCTACTCCATGAATTTCTCTGTTTTTTTTTTCAGGTCCTTGAATTCGTTTACTCTTAATCCTGTAGTCAAGTGAAAGATTGATTCTGGGTTCTAGATATCAGATCAAAAGTTTGTTAATTTGGGTGCTTTCTTATTCCATAAGCGTGTCTTGTTTCAGTTTTGGATGATTTTGTCAGTTAACTGGATTTTCTTGAGTTCTGTGACTCAACTTGATTGCTTAGTATTGCTTAAATTTGATATTTTTATTGTTAGAAGGCATTTGAAGTGAAAAAAGATCTCATATTTTTCTTACTTTGAGTTTTCTTTGACTTTTGTCAGTTATCATTTGGATATGCCGAGAGGTGATCAATCTTGCAAGACTAGAGGTGGTGATATCCCACCACCACCCGTTCAAAGCAGCAACCATTCCCAATTCGCGGAAGATTTTAGCTCCTATGAGGATGCTTGTAAGCTAGATCCATGCTTGCAATCCTTTGATGCCACCCTCATGGAGAAGACTAACCATGTCATAAACTCACTTAGCACTGGTGATATTGCCACGGGGTCCTCAGGCTCATTCAAAGTGGTCACTAATTGCCTTCTTGAAATGAACCAAGATGTGGTTAAATTCATACTAGAAAGCAAAGAAGATATCTGGAATAATCCAGAATTGTTTGCTTTGGTTGAGGAATACTTCGAGAGTAGCATCAAAACTATGGATTTCTGCACTGAACTAGAAAGTTGTGTTACAAGTGCTCGAACTAGCCAGTTGAATATAATGGCTGCCATTGCGCATTTTGAGAAGGAGGTGGGATTGCAAGATGGGGTGATTGAGAAGAAGTACGTCAAGACATTAGAAGAATTACAGAATTTTATGGTTGCAGGGGATCCATTTACCCCCAAATTCTTTATGCTGTTTCAATCGGTTTATGAACAGCAGGTCTCCATGTTGAAGAAATTGCAATCTCATAAGAGGAAGCTTGATAAGAAATTGAAATCGGTGAAGATCTGGAGGAGAGTGTCGAATGTTTTATTTGTGTCCGTTTTTGTGACCGTGATGATTTTTGCAGTTGCAGCAGCTGCCATTGCTGCACCACCTGTTGTAAGTGCTTTGGCCAGTGCTCTGGCTGACCCAGTGCACTCGGTGGGAACGTGGTGTAACTTGCTTTGGCATCGGTATGAGAACGCGTTGAAGGAGCAGAAGGTGTTGGTGAGCGCAATTCAGGTTGGAACTTTCATTACAATTAAGGACATGGAGAGTATTCGGGTGCTTGTCAACAAATTGGAAATTGAAATCAAGTCCCTCTTGCACCATGCTGACTTTGCTATCAGAGAAGAAGCTGTTGTGAAACTTGTGATGGATGAGCTCAAGAAGAAGATGGCAGTGTTCATGGAAACTTTTGAGGATTTAGCTGCCCAAGCTCATAGGTGTAACCGTGACATAATCCGAGGAAGGATTATGATTTCAAAGAGGATAATCGAATTTGCAGGCAAGTGAAGAATTCCTTTGGTATTTATGCCAATGACTTCCCAACATGCTTATCATATATGGATTCCCATCATCAGAAAATGTGACACTTGACATCTTGGGTTCATTGATTTGGATTCAGCCTAGAAAACTGTAATTTTGTGCATGAAAAAAGATTTACTAACAAAAAATCATACAAACTGACATGTAAGTGGTGATAAGTGGGTCTTAAAAACATCAAATGATTGATCGATCAAGAAAAAAACAACGGGCACATCGGTTTGTATGAAATATATGAGTAGTTTGCTTTTATATATATATATGTAGGATTTGTCTACATATTTTCTCAATAGGTTCCATTAAGTTTGTGTGCAAGATTATTACAGAAGTCAGTAGCAATAGATATTCTGATATTGTGCAATTGCTCACACAAACATTATTGACGACAGTCATGAAGTGTGCTGTATCATATATATGACTGGAACAACTTCAATTTAGTTGATCACATTCATCAGCTATCAAAAGATGTCCGAAAAAGCCTAGCAGCCTTGTTAATAGCCTGCTTTAAGTAAATTCTGCATAACTTGTGGCCTCAGTGGAGGAAAACAAAGACAACATAGTGTTTCAGATATAAAAGAATTTCCCTCGTCTTTTCTTATGGGGAAACATTTTCAAAGAATTATTATGGTCGAAGACAGAAAACTAAGGCTAGGATAAGAATTGCCGCTGAACTCGCTTCATGCTTAAAGATAGAAGAAAGCAGGAAAAGGATGAACAAGTGATTGTGCTATGTTCTGTTAGGGATTTGGACTGATGATGTATTTATATTTATTTATTAGAGGTTATGTACACCGACATAATATTTAACATAGTTTGACAAACCGCTTATATCAACGGGAGAAACCAATTCTTGTATAGGGAGAGAATAAGATTTACAATAATAGAGGAGGAAAAATCATCCACTCTTTTGCAACTTTCAACCTCATTTTATTTCTCTCTTCTTTGTGCTGCAATCACAGCTATTTCTGGCTGTCGTTGGGAGCCCACTCTCTCCAATATTTCTCACATCTTTAGTTGAACTTTCTCATTTTTTTCTTTAGATTATACCTCTATTTATAAGCATTAATAACAAGACAAGAGACCATAAATCATGGCACAAATGGTGACAACACATGAGTTACCCTATTTTTGTTAATGGTTGGTGCAACTATCATTGTAGCCTTTTGACAATGGTAACTCTACTTCTTAGGGTAAGCTGTAACGTTATTGCCTATTAATGATAATATTCCAATAATCAACCTCTTTGACATTTATATGGGCAATTGTCCTCTTGTTTTTTCAGCACAAGCTTGCATCCTGTAGTTCTTCCAAGCTTACCATTCCGAGAGTGTCTGTGTCCAAGTTTACCATTCCGAGAGTGTCTGTGTCCAAGTTTACAGGTACTCGCCAAACCTTTCAATCACCAGATTCACTGAAGCACACCCTTGCTCACACCAAAGGACCACTTCAACCAGATGGTCTCTCACATCACATCTGAAAAGTGTTAACGCTTGTCTTTGGGATACAACATTTTTCTTCGGGCATATCAACCATACTTAGTCCATAATGATTTATTTAGCCTCACACTAAGGCTTATAACACCCTCTCAAACGGAAATTTCTCTTTTCAAATGCAACAGTCATTATCTGAGTATCTCAATATGATCACTAGCTCACTACTCTTCTAAGAGTCTACTCATCTAGGAGTTGCGTATGCCCTCTGATTAGTACTTAAAAGTGTATTTTTATCAAGGTTTTATATCATCATTTTGCACTTGAAGTATGAATAACTCCTTAACTAAAGCATGTTTTATAATAATATATCTAATAATATAAGATACCTTTAATTTATGGTAAATGTTCATTTTAAATACAGGCCTATCACATAAATGAAAGGATTGATTGATGACTTTAAGAACTTAAATTGCAAGGGCAAAGAGATGACCAAAATTAGAAAAGAGATGTCGGTGCAATCCAAACCGGAACACTGTTCGGTAATTAGGTCATATCTTGAGCTATAAATCTCAGATTTAGGTCTACTTTATATGGATGGAAAGGTAAGACATAGGCCTATAACTTTCATATGGAGCCCAAGATCTAAAAAGATCATTTTCAAGTCCAAATTGTAGCAACAACAAAGAAGCCCGAATCTGTCCTCCAGCCCGAGCACTGTTCAGTATTTTGGCCATATCTGGAGTTCTAGAAGCTCAAATGAGCTGAATTTTTTACACAAGACAACTGAGACAATTGTCTACAACTTTAATGTTTTCAAGTGGCTCTAATTTTGACTTTATTAATGACGTTTTGGGCAGACAAGAGAAGATAAGGATTGTCACCAAGTCAAGAGTTGACCACCCACTCATCAATTAGTCATCAAATCAATAGTTCCTAATTTTGGCCTATAAAAGGAGGCATTTGCCATGCATTTAGGCATCTTGGTGTCCACATCAAGATCATGCTCTTACTTTCTCTCTTTGTATTTTTTGTAATGTTTATGCTTTGCTTTCATTAATATCAAGTTTATGCATTTCATTTCCTTTCATTTACTTAGTTAACTCTTATCTCTATTTTGCTTTCTTTCATTATGTCTAGCTAAGTTAGTTATGTCAAGGTGAAAAGGTTACACTAATGGTGTAAGAATAAGTATAGTGTAAACTTAATATGGACTTTAATGTTTGATATTAACATGTTTTATATTTGTTATCTTGTTCACTTTTTAATATTTTGCTTGTTAAATAACTAATCTTGATTTATGTTGTATAACACTTGGTACAACAAATGCTTGGCACTTTCATAGTTCATACTGTATGGTATAACCGACACCTGAGCTATGAAAGGAACTGAATTTATTGTTAACATAAGTTATAATCATGAATGCTTGAGGAGATTTACAAGTATTAGAATTAATTGAATAAGATGACTAATGTAATCATGTTAATAATCTATAATTTGATTAGAACCTCCTTTATGTGTGGTTTCCAATTGAATAATAAGAGTTTATATTATACTTGTTTGACATACCATTAGTGGAATCTTTAACCTTGACATTTGTTATTATCATTGTTTAATCGTTACATTAATATTCCTTCTCAAAGTTCTCATCTTCTTCCTTTTCTTCTCCTCCTTTTTCTTTATTATTATTATTATTGTTGTTGTTGTTGTTATTGTTGTTGTTGTATTATTGTTGTAGTATTGTTATTTATAATTTGTACAATTAACCTCCTTGTGGGTCGACCCCGGTCTTGCCGGGTTATTTATTACTTCGACACTCCTGCACTTGGGAGAAGACATTAACCTTTTAGTTGTGTCAAGTTTTTGGCGTCGTTGCCGGGAAGGTAAGTTTTGTATAAATTATAATATTTATTTTATTTTCTGTTTTCACTTTTCTTGTATATAACTTTGTTTCTTTTCTCTTGTTTCTTCTTCTTTTATTTTTTTTTCCTTTTATTTTATTCCTACACGTGCATGAGAGTGTGGTCATGTACATCAAGTAGTAGACTTTGTAGGGTATCCTCATAATTTTCAGAAAATATAACCGAAGAAGATAATCAATCACTTCATAATGAGAATAACCGTGCTAGAACACTTAGAGACCACATGAATCCCACAAGAACAAGTGCACCATCATGCATAGTTTTTTCTCTCGATACATCTCATTTTAATTTTAAGCCAGACATTATTTAACTTTTACCATCTTTTCATGGCTTGGAATTGGAAAATCCATACTTGCATTTAAGGGAATTTGAGGAGGTTTGCAACACATATAACAATTTAAATTGTAGCATGAACACCATCAGATTAAAACTTTTTCCTTTTTCATTAAAAGATAAAGCTAAAACATGACTATAAAATTTGAGACCGGGATCCATTCATGCTTGGGATGAAATGCAACAACAATTTTTAAAGAAGTTTTTCCCATCTCACATAACAAACTTTTTCAAAAGACAAATCACAACTTTCACTTAAAAACCAGGAGAAACATTTTACCAATGTTGGGATAGGTATTGAGACTTGCTTAGTACTTGCCCTCATCATGGTTTTGAAACATGAAGATTGATTTCACATTTCTATGAAGGGTTAACACCTAAAGATAGGCAAATGGTTGAATTGATGTGCAATGAAACTTTTGAAGATAAAGACCCTGATGAAGCAATACAGTACTTAGACTTGTTAGCTGAAAATGCTCAAAATTGGGACACCGCGGGTACTTATGAGGCACTGAGTAAAACTCAACCTCATACATCTAGTTGAGGTATGTACAACCTTAGGGAAGATCATGACCTTCAAGCCAAGTTTGCATCTTTAGCTAGAAAAGTCGAGGCACTAGAATTGAAAAAGAGTGGTCAATTAAAATTTGTTAAAAACATTGTGTGTCAAATCTGTGAAACAAATGAACACTCAACCAACGATTGTCCAACCTTGCCTTCTTTTAAGAAATGTCTCCATGAACAAGCCCATGCTTTAAACAGTTTCCAAAGGGCCAACCACAACCCATACTCCCAAACCTACAACCCTGGTTGGAGAAATCACCTAAATTTCAGTTGGAAGAGTGAGAACAACAATGCACAAACTTCACAACCACCGTTTCAAGCACACCATAATTTCTAAAATTCTCATAGATATGCACCTCCTTATGCTTCACTTTCTAGAAGAAATCTTGAGGAAACACTACATGCATTCATTGAAAAGCAGGAGACAATCAATACTCAACTTGCTCAAAACATGACAGATTTTAAAGATACTCTTGCAAAATTAACATCTGCTCTCAGTTTTCAAGAGAAAGGTAAGTTTCCATCTCAACCACAACAAAATCCCAAGGGGCAATATAATGCAAATGCAAGTAGTTCCGGAAGCCAACACATGGATCAAGTCAAATCAGTCACTACTCTGCGTAGTGGTAAGGTTATTGAAAAACCCTCTCTTGAACTTTATGAGAAAGATGATGAGTCAATCTCTGAGGGTAAGGAAGGGGTTGAATCTGAAAATTACAAAGAAAAAACTGATTCTCCGCCAGCACTTCCATTTCCTCAAGCCATGACCAAACAAAGAAAAGTCAATCACAACTCTGAAATTTTTGAAATTTTTAAACATGTAAGGATCAATATACCTTTGTTGGATGCTATTAAACATGTTCCTTCCTATGCTAAATTTTTAAAAGATCTATGCACTGTGAAGAGAAAACTGAATGTGAAAAAGAAAGCCTTTCTAGCCGAACAAGTAAGTGCTATTCTTCAGAACAATAATGCTTTGAAATATA